GTGTACAATGGAATCATTAATGAAGAAAGCAACGAATTTTCCCGCGAACACTAATGTGCAATTCTTTTAATCAATTGTATATTCTGATAGTGATTATGCTAGGAGCCATATAGATAGGAAAACACTATTAATACAGTACATCTTCTAAGGCATTCTACTATGTCTTCGTAAAGTAGAAAACTGAACTGTGTAGCCCTGTCAACTATTGAAGCCATGTACATTGCACTAGGTAGCTATTGTGCACAAGCCCTTTAGATATCTTTGACACTATAGGACATTAGCATTACCTTTAAGAAAGTTTCTCTTAGATGTGATAATAAGAGTGCTATTGACTCAAGTAATAACCTACTTTACTATTCACATACAAAACACATATATATTATCCATCACTTTGGTAGAGACTACATTGCTAAGGAGAACATTCAGATTGTGTTTTGTCCCCTCTGATCAGTAGCTTATAGATATTTTTACCAAATCTTTGTTTGAAGACTGTTTTAGTAGATTGAGATAGACTTAGGCATACCATCTCTTAATATCTAGCAGATTGTATTTTTTGTTGCATGTATATAATGTGGTTTGATTTTCGTTTTCTTTTTTTCTTTCTAGTTTTTTTATTTTTTTCCTTTTTCTTTCATTTTAAAAATATGAAAACAAAATAAATTTCTATTTCTTTATTTTTTATTTATTTTATTAAAAAGTTTTAAAAACAAAAACTTGGACATCTATGTATGTGCTTTTATAGGAATGATTCAGATGATGTTGTTTGTTCATATATAGGCTTGAATATGACACAAAAGTTCACATGCATTTTTCAATCTATATGTATACATTTTTGCACACAATGATTAAAAATGGATTGCATGACACTTTGTTTACATGAGCATTTCACTTATCGATTAGCACAGCCATATTTCATACTTATCATGTTTTGTGGTCTGAAATAGTGGTTGAGGAGTCTTATTTTCACTTCTTAGATATTTTAGGTTACATCATGTGTTTCTGAGCATTTTAACTTGTCTAATGCACACTTATTTTTATATGTACTTAAGTGCATCCGTGTCAAAAATATGAATAAACTATAAGAGTGTATTTGGACAGGTTCTAAAAATAGGTTCTTAAATTTTGGGAGGTTACTAACCTGCAGTCTCTAAAACTTTCCATTATCCAATTCTCATTTGCACATTTTTTATGATATATTATTTTCATAAGGTACACAGCTTAACTCCTGATCGCATCACTCAATACTCATCATGTACCATCCTAAGGTGTGAAATATTTAGGGTGAGTTGTAGATAACCCGCCTCACTTATTTATACATTCAGTGACACTTAACAAATCTGAAGTAGCTTATTAGCACTTTGTTAGGATGTTGCCTATGCAATATCTCCTATTTGAGTAATGACAAACTCCTATTTTGTACTAATATTAGTTTGAGATGATTTAGTACATATAAAATACATATATAAAATATGTACAAGGTGAAACGATGTGAAAATCAGCTCAAAAGCTGATTTAGGGTCTTCACCATCGATGGTGGCCTTTGGCCATCGATGGTGGCCTTTGACCATGGATGACACTTTTGTGATCATCGATGGTTTAAAGGTCCATTGATGGTGCAAATGTTCAGAGACATCAAAATCATTGATGGTGCTCATTGACCGTCGATTGTCTCTTGACACTCTCGTTGATCGAGAGCAACCATCAATGGTATAGTCGGTTGTTTGGTTTTTAATGATTCAATCATAGTCGTTCGTTGTTCATATGATCTCTATCCTTTATCACATGGCACATATCTCTTTCCTGACCTAATTATGAAAGAAAAACTTAGAGAGAGATGAGAGAGAGGAGTTCTAAGGTTTTTATTCTTGAATTTTGAAGAACTTTTTGATCTCCAGGAGCCCTCGTTAAAATTTTTTACCCACCGTGCATATCATCATTGGATCATTCCACAACAAAAAAATTGCCCATAGATTGATCTTCATCATCATTCTTCATCAAGCTTTGCTTATATCTATTGAAGGATGGTTTGTTTTAACAAAAAGGTTGTATGATCATTTTAAGTCTAAACTTAATTGATATTTAGTTTTATATTTTTTGAACTTCTTTTATGGCGTACTCAAGCCAGTTGAATTGAGGATTGAGACTAGCTAGGGATAAGAGTTACTTATTGTAGAGTTAGGTTAGACAACTAGTTTCAGGTAGATACCATGGACAGCCTTGTAAGCCTACTGAATCAAGTTTGTGATTTAGGTGAACTCTTTTCATAGTAAGGAAGCCCATTTGTCAAAAGAAAGAGTGGATGTGGAATTGTTTATCTAAACCACTATAAAATTTTGTGTGTTCCTTGGTTGATTGCATTTATGATTTTATATTGTTTTATATTGTTTATTGCTTTTATTTGCTATATTTTGCTACATATTCTGTGTGATATCCTAAGATTTAGTCTGAGATCGGATATTGATTGAGTGATTGAATGATTTTAATATAAATTCAAGGAGTCAAGTGCAACATTGACTAGTCAAGTTTGGCAGTTCATTGAGTTAAACCATGTGTCACACTTTGTGGATTCAATAGCTTAGGTCACACCAACGTGCTTGTGAGCTCGGGGCATGACAAATAGTATTTGAGAAGTTAACCAGCCAAAAATGTAGAGCTAAGTGATACGTGTAACTAAATGCTATACCACGTGAGTGCGGTGAAAGTCGCCTCTAGAAGCTCCTAGGAGCCACCTCTAGAGTCCACATCGCTTGGTGATGATACTAGGACGAACCAATTATCATGATGCGACAAGGACATGATGTAATTATAGTGGAGTGATTGTGATACCCCTAAGATTTATTCCCACATCAGATATAGATTGAGTGGCTAAATGATTTGTAATGTAAGCCTAAGGAATCAAGCACACATCGACTAGTCAACTTTAGTAATGGATTGAGCCAAATTATGTATTGCACTTTGTGGGCTCCCCAAAAAAAACAGATCACACACACAAACAAAGTTAGCAGCAACGTATATCACTAAAACCATAATTCAAGGATACGAAAATGCTAATAAATGAGTTGAGACCTGAGAGGTGTTATGTGTATTGAAGGCATATAGATCAAGGAGAGATCTAAACTTTACCCAACTCCTTATATTTAAGTTTATGTTGTATCCTTTACTATGGGGGAAAATGTACAGTATGAACAATAAATACTTTATAACATTTTTTTAAAGAAATAGTTACTGGATTAAGCCGTCAACAGTAAAGAGTAGGCAAATTCAAAAGCAAATAAAGACATTTTTTGCAAAAATAAATAGACTAAGGTAACAATTTAGGATAAACGGACAAGGGAGGTAAGTAAGGTGGTTCACCCTTCTTTGGAATAAAATAAAATAAAATAAAAGCATTGATAGGAAACAAGAAAAAGGCTGACTTAGTCATGTTCTTTTGATATGGGCTCTTTATTCCATACGAAACTACAAAGAAGATGCAATAACTCATGAGGCTCCCTCTACCACTTCCACTCCTTAGCAACATGATGTGTTTACGTGCACAGAGCAAAGAAAAGAAGGTACCAATTGCCAAACAAGTTCTCATGCAAAATTCCTTAATCTCCTCTACGCAAGTCTTAATTTAATATGAAGAGACATCCTTACTATGATAATTATGTATAATTACTTTAAACTGTAAAGAGACATCATTGCTATGCTTAATTAGTAACATCAACAATTTCCCTTGACATCATACACTGGTACACGCATTTTGAGATCTAGCTGCACCATGATTTTGATATCAATAAACATCATTACAATACTCAATTGTTAATGTGGATACTTTTAGCTATCAAGAGACATCATTATTATGATTAATTAGTTTAACTTCAACCAGTTTCCCTTCACATCCTGCAAACATGCTGATAACTTATCGCACGATATATAATTTTGGACATTACTAATATATATGCTTGATTGTTAGTTTGGACTATAATTATTTTTAACTATCAATAGACATTATGTTACTATTCTTAATCAGTAAACCTAATCCATTTTCCTTTCGTATCCTTACACGGACACTTTGAGACTTAATTTGATAATAATTAGCTACACCCTGATCTTATGATATCAATAGACATTATTAATATGCTCAATTGTTAATTTTTTCATACTTGTAACTATCAAGAGACATCATTACTATACATATTTAATTTGAGAAATCCCACAAATTAACATTTTGATTATGGCATCATGTTTGTTCTACTGGTGTCTTGCCTCCATAATCAGGGTTACAATCATGCAGGTTCCTAGTTTTTTCTTCGCGTTTCGTTTTATAGTAAAAAAAACAGGGCTAGATGCCCTGTTTAATTATATGCATTAAATATGCATTAAAAGTTTTTTTTTTAAAAAAAATTTAACTAATTAAGGATACATAAATATATAACAACAAACAGGCTATATTTCAGAAAAGAATTCATCAAGCTGCATACATACCCAGCTCGTAGTTTTAAAACACCAAAAAAACAACCAAGTTTATTTCAGAAATTATCTCGATCCAACCACATCCCCATCTCCTTGATGCAGATTTGTAGATAAAATATAATTTTATCTCAATAAAAAATATTGCAAGAATAATATGACTGGTCCCTAGACATAAAATGTCGCTAAATAAATTAAGCCCGCTGCAGTTAGCCAAGGCTACAGTAGGACATTATCATACCCATATATAGCCGTTCCTTAAACTACAAGTTAACAATTATTCCTTAAACTACAAGTTAACAATTATTTTGAGTCTCATCTAAGTTAAGCCTATTATGGAACACTTCATCATTCATTAGTAGCACTTAGACTCTTACAGCACAAGAAGATTAAATGAATGAAATATAATATTGACCCGAGTAATTAATACAAAAAATAAACGAAATATTCTTCAAAACTTCACTTTTAACAACTGTATATTGATACAACATGGACAAAATTACAATGTATCAAAGTCAACCAAAATCTTCTTCTTTTCTTTTTTCTTCCACCTTTTTTTTTAAAAACATATATAGGAAAAATATTAATACACATGAACAATAGTGTAGTAAAAGAAAAAAAGAACACATATAACTAAATATTAATTATTACAGTTATGTAATATTAATAACAAATAAAAAGAGAGATTACTTGGATGATATGGTAATGATGGTGACACTGATTTTGATGCATAGTTGATTGGCTTTAGCTAGGCATTGTGGCCTTCTCCCTTCTTTTTCTTTCTCTCTCTTTTTTCTTCTTTCTCTTTTCCCCATCTTTGCGCTTTGTTTCCATCAAACTTGGGTTTATTGTGTACAGTTAGTTTTAACTCCTTATCCAGTTCAAACTTGATCCCCCTTTGTTGTTTGCTCCTTCAATTCTCTTTGCAGTATGTAAGTTTAAATACCTATGATAATATTGATGATGGTGTTCTTTTTCTTCCCCCGTCTCTTTTGTTATTATCCATGATGATCTGGGTTGTCAGGCGACCAGTATGAGTACTTTAGCCATTCTGTCTCTTGGGGGTGAGGAATTGGTGCTTCCTGCTAAAGAAATTAGGCGTACGTTCTACAATTAATGACCATTTGCAAAAAGGGGAAAAAAAAGAAGGAGGTGAAATTCAAGGATAAAACTTAGTAGTGATGCAATTACATACACAAAATATATACAAGACTAGTGCACCTCAAAGCATAAACTTAAGTAGAGATCTGGCTCGCCCTAGTAAAGATATGCTTAGAGAAACCAAAAAAAAAAAAAAAAAAAGGAAAAAAACTTAAGTAGAGATCTGGCTCGCCCTAGTAAAGATATGCTTAGAGAAACCAAAAAAAAAAAAAAAAAAGTGAAATAGAATTTCCATATTTTATGTTACTTTTTCCTTCTTTTCTTAAACATATAAACGAATGGGTTAATTTCTCATAGACCCTGTATAATGTATAGTACCGTTTTTTTTTACTTACAAATTGTTACATATAGACCCCCCCCCTCTTTTTTTTTACTCTTTTATCCTGATTGAAAATTTGGCAGATACTGGCCTAGGGTGACAATAGTAAGTCTATACGAGGGTAAAAGAGTCAGAAAAGTTTAATGCAAGGTCTATCCGCAACGATCGATGAGATTACAGGGGTGCATAGTGAGTTCCAGAGAACGATACTTTAGGGGGATGTGCATGCGGGGGTTTGGATCGCTATGAAATATAAGCTTTAATATATTCAAGTAGTATAGCCTTTTTTTCTAAGACATATTTTGACGCTTGTAAATTAATTAATGCAAAATTTTAGATATATACCTGTGCAATTCAAATCTCGGGGGGTAAAAGCGTAAAAAGTGTATAATGTGAGTGACACTATGGTGTATATAAATGAGTAGACATAAGATATAACCAACTTTTTTTTTTCTTTTCCTTTATCTTTTTCTTTTCGTATCGCTTTGTCGATAATTTAAAAGGGGGAAAAGTGCATAATTGGTTACTACGGTGTATAATGTGAGTGACACTATGGTGTATATAAATGAGTAGACATAAGATATAACCAACTTTTTTTTTTCTTTTCCTTTATCTTTTTCTTTTCGTATCGCTTTGTCGATAATTTAAAAGGGGGAAAAGTGCATAATTGGTTACTACGG